CTCTCTCTCCCCCTCCCTCTCTCTGTCTCCTACTCCCTTGTCCCATCTGCCTTTGTCAAGAATAAAGCTAGCCCAACCACTTTGTAAATGAAACATCCTCCCACTATTAATGGGATTGAGCAGATGTTTTCTGTTTGGACGGTCAGAGATGCGACAGTAAAGCCTGCAGCAAAACAAAACAAAAAGATTTTTGGAGAAAAAAAAAACCCCAGAAAGCTAAAGCAGATATTTATGGAAATGATTATATCACTTCCCTCATGTCCCATACGGACGCATGTCTCGCACACATGGCAAATTAGAGGTCATCCCTTCCAGTTTAGCGCATGTCTAAGTGCGTGTGCCAGCGATTTTGGTACTAAAACATCGTAAATAACACTGTAACCTCTGGGACGAGGTGTTATAAATAGGACGTGTCAAACCCTGCTCCGGCCAGCCTCTGGTTTCCCCGAAACCCTCTCTTTTCACCCGCCGAGCGGCTCAGCTACTTTTTAATTTGGCCTTCCCGCGGGCTAACCGACTGACGCCTCACGGCGAGGGCCTCTGTATTTCAACAAGGCCACAAAACCCCCAGTCCTCGGGCACTTGCGCTCACAAAGCTCTCCAGCCTTTCTGAGCTGTTACTTTTTTGGAGCCCAGACTCTACCATCAGCAGAAGAAAACGCCGGCCCTGGCCAGAACACAGCGGCCAAGTCTCATCTGTCAGAAACCCAAGGGCCAGACTCTCCAGCCACTGGGTGGGCGGGGCCCGACCAAACAGAGAGAGGAGGAAGAAAAGAAGAAAGAGTGGAGTGTGGGGGAGAGAGGTTTCGAGAGCGAGAGGAAGCTCCCAGATAAACAGACCGCAGCGCCTCAACTCCTAATCACCCTGCGCTTCCGTTTCCAGACTCTATAATTAGAAGGGCCCCGTCCCTTTTTTCTCTGTATTCCCAGTTGACGCAAATGCTTCTTGTGGCTTGGCACCTCGTTTGGGGCGTGGGTTTTCAAGAGTTTACAGGCCCTGGGCCTTAGCTCTCTGGCTTTCTGGTCGCTCTGATACAGCATGAATAGCTAACCACTGTCTTAATGCACACTTCACTTGGCTTCCCTTTTTCTTTCCTCCCTCCACCTCTGATAATCTGCATGACCCCATCGCTCATCCACTCTGTACCTCCCTCATTCCACTTCTCCGTCGTCTTTAAATATAACCGTTCCAGTCATATACAAGTGTTAAAAAAAGAAACCTTTCAACTCTGAATGAATGTGCAAAATTTTGTAGCACACTTGGCTTTTTTTTTCCAGAGAAGAGGGAGTGTTTTCCATCTCCCTCGCACGTGTTGCTGAATCCTTTTAATCTCATGCCATTCCAGCCTCCTCTTTTCACATTTGACATGCCACCCAATAAAGCCCGGCCAATAATTAAAACCTACTGCAGCCTCCACATAAAAGATTCCATGAGGAAAAACTCAGAGGAAAATTACTAATTACTTTAATATCATTTATGTCTGGGAGTCGTCAAAAAGACAGAGGTTTGGAACTTTTTTTTCAAATCTTACACTCCATATCAGTGATGCGTTTCCAACATTTTCAGTTACTGCCCAATGGACGGGTTTGTTTGTAACATCTCGAAAAGGCTTCTGGGGATGGGTTTTGGGTTGCGCTTGAAAAGCAGTGCGGCGTTTTTATTCTAACCGAGCCAGTTCAGATCTGGGTTTGTTCTGGTGTGGTTTGTTGAGCATGTTGTTTATGGTGAGGGCCTATACTTTCTGGAGTTTGACGAGCTTCAAATAAAACTGCACCAAATGAATGGGCCTGTCAGTGGGGGTTACACTTGTGCTGAGCTGTGGTTCAGTGTTTCGGTGAAACTCAATGCACACACACACACACACGGCCATACACGGATGTAGGAATACATAGATTCTGTCTTTTACAGACACTCATCATCTTGTCTGTCCTCGGAGAAGCACACGACTGGAGCCCTGCTTTTAACCAGACCGAGTTATCATGCAAGGGAAGGCTGCATTTTATGACATCGACAAACGATAGCTGGCTTTGTTTTAATGGGCTAGTTTGTTTGTTTTAAAGGCACCGTAATTCTGTCATGCTGTCTAGCATGTGTCCTGCACAGTTGGTAGTGTTGGCTGTCTTCGTGTGAGCCGCTGGAGTGAAATACAGTTTAAATATTTTGGTTGGACTGACTTTGTATCAGTTTACCAGTGGCAGCATTTAAACACACTGGCACGGTTGAAAGTATCTTTGGTCAACTTTGACAAGAATATAAAGGTTAGGGTTTTCTGTGAACTTTCCACAATGAAAGAATTTCTCCTGAAAGACTGGGAGCAGCATGTAATGACATGTTAAATAATCATCACGTATAGGTTTTAAAGTAGTATCAAATGTATGATTTAAGTATCAAAGTACAAATTTGTAAGTAATGATTCACTTCTCAACTGATTTGATTTGAATTGTGATTTGCATCACATTGGTTAGGTAAGCGTAATGAAAGTCTAGGCAAGGAAGCTGGCATTTGAAGACAGTATGTATACTGTTGTAGGTATATCTTATAATTAGTAGAAAACATAATGCAATCTAAAATTGTCTTTATTTGATGTGATTTTGTTCCTGTGATTTAGTTTATTTGCACGGGATTCACAAGATTGTCCAAGGCCGTGATATCCTGACTTTTAATCCCTAAAATGAGTCCAGTCCTAAAAGCACTTATCCTATAATGCACTTTGAGCATCCTTTATTAAAACCTCACTGCCTGATAAATGTATGTATCACAGGCTTTCTGTAAATTTGTAGTTCCCAAACTCAAAATGACCCTGATGATGCCATCAAGGGTCAGCAAGACCAGTAAACCGACCTTCATGTATCAAATTGGTGGGGTGCTTCCTCAATCTTTGTTTTGATTTGAGAACACATTTTCCAGTCTGTACTCATTGCAGCAGTTATCTATTAGTTCTATTATTGTTCAGCTTATTTATTTGGAACATATTCTACCAGGGTTGACCAAAATGCAAGTTTATACCTGTAGTTTCTAGCCCAATGTTGCCACAACAGAATACATACTGTAATAAAAATACAAAAAAAATAGAAAGCATGCAGTGGAGGAATAAAATGTAGACAATATGGCCGCTAACAAATACTAAATGAAGCATACAAAGCAGAAGCATATAAAGAAAGCAAACAGCACATTAATGTCAAGGCAAAAACTCCACATAAAACCCCAGTGGACTACATAAACATGATCATGATGATGATAACCAATGTTGAAGCCATGTGTGTGAGTGATTCCTACTGTAAGGTAGGGGTGTAAGAAAATATTGATCCACTAGAGTATTGTAATATTTTGTTTTGTGGTATTATTATTATTATATCGATTCTTGATTTTTGCGTTTAAACCCCCAACCGCTAGATAGCAGTCATAAACGTAAACTGTGGGCTAGGATGTTAGATAGTACAGGAACTGTGATAAATATACATGCAGATCACACTGTTCTGGTTGCATAAAATTAGTAAACATTTATTTTATTCAGATTTTATGCATATGGTGGTGTGTTATTCATACTTATTTATTATTTTATTAAAAAGTCGAAATATGTTGCCTTGCTTACAGTATCGCAATATAACACAATACATTGAATCGTAACCCCTGTATCGTGATACATATTGTATGACCAGATTCTTGCCAATACACTGCCCTAATGTAAATGTGCAATTTTAATCAAGAGGCACACAGATAATTCCTGACTAATCTCCACTTGTGTTAAACCCCACTATGTTTCAGTTTGCAAGCAGGGGAAAAAATGCTTACGTGTGGTGAGTTCCAAAAGCAATATCCAGCTTGGCCTGTCAGGGAAAAGCACCCACATTAATCCCATTTCAAGGGAAATCCAGAGTACTTAAAGACCGGACTCAACAGGCACTTGCCAGTATGACTATCCTACTTTACAGATCAGAGTATATATAATATCAGCCAAAGTGCACACAAACTGCTGTTGAACAACTGTTTCCTGTGGTAGTGAGTCTGTACCTGGCAGAATCGAACATGTGGGAAAGGCTTAGCCTGCTGTACCAGCCGGGCCTTGGCCTCCCTCTTATCTCCATGGACGATCAGGACTGGACGATCCCTGTAAACACAACCCAAAACCAAGGGTTGAGAAACAATGCTAAAACAATAGTCATAATAAGTCATTATGCAAATTTGAATCAGGAATGTTAGTGTCCAGTGGTGATTTAATTACAGTTTCAGAGAATTTTGAAACATTGAAATCTATAGAAACATGAACAATCATTGGGAATAAAATGTTCACATTTCATAAATACAACTGGACACACAGTAAACACAACAACACTGCTAAGAGCACTGAAAAAGGCATGTTTGTAAAACCTTAAACCTTGCCACGCAAACAATCTCCTAAATGCTTACCAGATAGTACAATCAACATATATATCTCTTTTAATTGTTGGGTCATTGTTGCACAGCCCATATTAACTCATATTGGAACTTGTTAGATATTTTTCTGATCTTCTCCAGTTCATTTATTTAAAATTGTGAAGAAACATACAGCATTACATTTGCAACACTATTATACCAGCCATAACAGACCTTTTCACAGCAGTCATTTTGATATGAAATAGTTGGGTAAACAGAGACATTACAAGTGATACTAATTAAGATTATGTTCCATTCATGTCAAACAGAGTCGAGTGCTGCTGTTTGCTCACTGGAAGGTTTCTGCTAAACTAAATAGAACAGAACCTTAATTAGTATCATTAAAACAAAAAACAGTTTACACTGCAATTTCATGTCAACATAGCTGCAGTGAAAAAAGTCTGTACACCAGGGGGCACTCTCATCAGTTTAATGTGGACATTCCCCCTATGTCAGAAAAATGATGAAAGGTGTACAATAATGTGATACTAGCAAAAAGGTAGCAGAACTTACCTAAACTCTGATGGGTACTGTTTAACCATCCAGGCAATATCAAAGCAGTAGTTAAACTGTGAAGAAAGACAGCATGTAAACCTAGCAGAAAGATGTAAACAAGACTCTACAGCCATGCTAACAGTTAGCTGTTAGCTGCACTCAGTCATAGTTGCACTAAATGCTAATGTCACAATGGCCATGCTCACATGCTGAGGTTTAGTAGGTAACATGCTTTTACTATGTTCCCAAACTAAACACAAAGTACAGCGGAGGCTAATGCTCTCATTAATTATGTATTTGGTTTTAATCCCTCGCCTGGTGAAATGTTTCCTCCTGAGGGGAACATGAATGGCAATGCCTCCAATAATTGTTGAGACATTTCACTTAAAACCAAAAATATCAATCTCATGGTGGTGCTAGATCAAATGTCAGGGGATCTGTACGGTACAGAGACCAGGAGTGTCTGGCCAATAGTTTTTGAGATATTTAAGTCTGCAGCAAAGGACGTGAACTTTTCTCCACAGTTTATATGGTTACTCACCTGAACAGATTCTTTCAGGGTCCCAAATAATGGAGAGAGAATGTCTAGATGAAAGAAGTAAAGATTAGTAGACAGAATGTATAAAAGACGAGAGGTGGGCTGTACTCCACTGATTTCAGCAGGGAGATCCACAGTAAGGACAAGACACTGGGCTCATGGGGGATTCAAACCAGGACTATGAGGACCACCTATGAGACCACTCTGCTGCTCTTTCATAAAGTTACATAACAAAAAAGTGACCAAAGTATTAACAGACTGGCTTGATGAAGAGTCAAACTCTAACTTCTTCTCTTCTAATTCTCTCTCATTCGACAAAAACAAGTAAGGTTAAGATAATCAGCTTCCAATTTAAAACAATCTGAGCGATGTCAGATACTGAAATGCTCTGTTTAGACTTTCCATGCTACAGAATTGCCGTTTTATTTCCTCAAACGCAGAACGAAACTGTGTGCACCAAATCTAATTCCATTCCACTCTCCTCACCTCTGATGTGCAGAGCTCCACTGTTGTACTTCCTGTCCAGGCCTGTGACTTTGTTGAGGTAAAACCTGTAGGTGTCATTTAGACAAGGAACACTGGATTCAAAGAAGTCCTCTGGCTCGTCGATGTAGTAGAGCCGGCCGTGGGGACTCGGAGGGCGCTCGTTCTCCACCTTCACTTTCTTTGCTTTGGGGCTCGGAGGCGCCCTCTTTGGTAGGTTACTGAGACCTTTCCCCTTCACATCTCCATCATCATCATCATCACTGTCTGAGAGAGCCCACCCTGAGCCATCTGACACCTCTTTCTTCCGCTTTCCAGCCAGTGACGGACTGGTTTCGTACTTCACCGGATTTATCTGGTTCATTGCTGCAGACTGTCTGGCTTCAGAGCCGACAACCAGTGAGGATACAGGGGGGTTTGCTGGTTCTGGTTTCACCTCCACTGTGGCTTTCACTGGTTCCAGTTTGGGGCTGGGGGGAGAGGCAGACCAATGGGAGCTGGGATTGGATACACTGGGTTGGTGGGGCTTAGATGTTGTAGTCCCGGATAAAGGAATACCCTCATCATCATCATCACTGCTGGAAATGGTCCATTTGCCATGTTGACTGTCCTGATACATGCCTGGCCAGAGACACAGAGAGATCAAATATCAGCTGAGCAGCAGGAGCGAGCGAGCCTGAAGTAAAGCTGCCAGTCAGTCATACTGGATGTAAGCAGCCTGAACTGGGTGCGTTTAAAAGGCCAAGCACAACTTGATATAGCTAACAGACACCTCACCTGCTTGCTATGAGTTTTATACCAAATATATCAACTGACATCCATAAACCTTTAAGGACAGATGGCTTTAATCCATTACTGTTTACGATAGAAACCTAAAAGACTGATTAACTTGTAAACAGCAGTGGATGTTTGCAGCTGAAACACCACAGCTAGCAGTATCTGGGTGCATATTGAATGCATCAAGGCTATCTAAAATGGTGTTATATTTATTGCATAGTGCACATTCACTAACACAGGAACTTACTAGGTCTAATTATAAAATGTGTAAACATCTACTAACAACATGGGTACATGCACAATAAGTACAAAAACAAATAGTTCAATGTATGCTAAAGCTGAAAATATAAGCAATAACACATATACTTCATACTTAAGATCAACATATTAAATACAGATGTTAGAGTAATACAAGCAGAACAGAACGGTAAGATGATAGTATTATACTGTGGTGAACAATGGACCGGCCGAGCGCCATATTTGTGTTAACTGTTACCGAGTCAGATAAGTGAGCAGCGGCACAGGTTCACGATGTTTACGCTGAGCCTCTTATCAATCCACCGCTAAACAAACTTCACTACAATACATCTCCATCAAGAAAACCACAGTGCAGGAGGTGCGCAGGGAACACGTGTCCGGGTAGGAACTCCCTTTCTGGGTCGTGTAGTTCCGCCACAATAACGACGGGATCTAAAGACAAAGCAAGCATTACGTTCATTAAAGAGCAGGTTCAACACATTGACAGTATATATAAGGGTTTAACCACTGGCTGTATATATAACATAACATACATACATACATATACAACATAAGAGTTGGTACACAAACATGAACAATAACGTGTTGCAGAGTCGCATCTTAAAAGTTGATTTATTATATTATATTATATTATATTTAGTCTTTGTTTATGTTTCTTTTTTCTTTGTATTTAATTTTTAGTTTTTGTAATGTTTATATTTACATAATATGTTTATGTTTATATTTTGTTTGTTTATTAAGTTTGTTACTTAATTCTTTTGTGTATATAATATTGTGATACTGTTACCTAATGTAACTGGTTATGTTCATATCTTCTGTGCATCAAATATCATAAATCATTGCTGGAGGGGAGTAATGTATGAAGAAGCAGCTATTTCCCTGGACAATGTTAGGTAAGGGTAGGCCATTGTTACAGAGGGGTCATAAAGAGGCAGGGTGAGGACTGTTGTGAGGAAAAAGTGCCAGATCAGAGGTCATGGGGGGGGGGGCACATAGCACTCAAGAATGTGGATCTCCTGATTCAATATGGACCAGAGTGGCAGATAATAACTAAGTGCTTGCAAACGTAATTAGTTATATCAAGCAGAACGTCTTTATTCAGCTGTGATCAAAGATGCTCAGAATAAGCTACTGCTTTTAATGATTTTATATCATGTAAAGACAGGTGGGTGCCCTTGGAGCAGCAGCCTTGAGAGCCCCAGACGTTTTTTAATTAACTTTTCAAGTACTGATATGTATTATAATAATTTATTGAAGTCATAAGCCATAGGTGTCACCCCTACCCCATTAAGCCCAAACAGACGTCAATTATATACAACCTTGCCATTGACTTTGATGTATTTTCTCTGCCACTGCAATGCATGCCTCTGTGGAAGTTTAAAAAAAACTTCATTATTGCACATTTGCTTCATGCAACACCAACAGCAACTACTGACCATGCTGGTGCCAAAATGATGGTCATCACATGCAAGGACCATGCAAGTCGAAGGATTGTTTATTTATTTTTTGTTGTTTGGTAATTATTGTTTACTCCACAGTATTTATCTTTGTTTAATATCTTCAATATTGCATTATTTTTATCTGTCTTTTATACAAAAGATATATTTAATCGCATTTTTCTTATTTGTATTATATTACAACATTTTTTACAAGGCAACTAAAACTGTGCAATTATATTATCTATACCGGGGGGTTTTTTTTATATAAAGGTTTTATATCTACATATTATTTTTTTTCGACTGTACAGTACCCTGGGGCCTTCTCACTCTATTCCTGTTGTGCTATGTGTCATTGTAATCGTAATTTCATTTTGATGCAAATCCAAATGACAAATAAAGTCTGTCTAAGTCTAAGTTGGTGGAAGTGTTACACCAATAAGGTGTTGGTTAGCAGTCATAAAAAAACTAAATAAGTCATATCTTGTTTCTTTAGATACAGGAGAGAAGAAACTGTGATTTCAAGGTTAAGATTAGGGCACTGTGCACTAAACATCAGACAGGCTTATGTGAGGGATGCCAGCAAGAAGAGTCAGTGGAGCATGTAGTTTTGAGTTGTAGGAGGTGTGGGACAGAGAGAGAGAGATGATGAGGGAAAAATAAGGGAATTAGGGGTGCAGGAATTCACATTAAAAGGATTACTAGGCACGGATGAGAGAGCACTGGTTAGGTTATTGCTGGCCCTTTTAAACATCCACATTTAGGAGGATCTATTGTCAGAAATGGAATATAATATTTGGATAAGATAAGATAAGATAGACTTTATTGATCCCACACTGGGGAAATTCACTCACTATAACAGCTCCAGATATAACACAACCGATAAGAAAATATACATTAAATAAAAATAGAATAGGAAAATACAAGATATAATGAAAATAGAAAAATGAGAATAAGTAATTAGTGTACACTATATACAGCTGTTTACAAAGAAAGGATTGATATGGAATATTGCACAGGTTACAGCAGGAGGTAGTGGCATGGTATACAAATAAATAATTGCACTGGACAAAAAGTATATATACAGCAGTATAGATTGGTGAAAATATATGAATATACAGTACAGGTCTAATATTTGTGTTTAGGAAATTATATAATTAGAAATATATGTATGTGAAACTGTAAAGTACTAGTAGTGCAAAGAGTATATTAAATAGTGTTGACAGAGACAAACAGCGCTACATTATGTGGTTACTGAGTTAAAGAGTCTGACAGCTGTATGTATATTAATATTAATATATAGTAATATTCATATGTATGTAAGTGTATAATGACCTAAATGTCACTAAATCCTACACACAGAGGAGTGTTCTGTAGGATATGATGGATGAACAGGAACAGCTGATGGGGCTGACATGGACACACACTCCGGAGCAGAAGGTGGCGGTAGTGCAGCAATAGGCTGGATCCCTGCCGCAGTACAACCAGAAGAAGAAGATCGTGTTAGTCCAGTCGTGCACCTTAGTGTGCTCTCGAACCGTGCCGCTTTGGGGTGCTTGTTGTGGAGAGTAGTCTTGGCTGTCTGCTGTTGTGTCTAATAAATAGTGAGAAGGCTTTCGCAGTATGGCGTTAAACCTCACCATCAACACAAGCAATCCGCCTCTAGGTGAGTGAGAGCCTGAAGAAACACTTGTTCAGTGGTGGTGTGCATGCTCTGACAGATGACTAGTTAGCTTCCGTTACGAGTCATCCTATTAAATGAAACAAACTCACACTGTAAACTCCCCTTTTGATGTTTGCTTGCTAATCACATACAGATAGCAGGTCAAGGAAACCCGAAGACACTGGACTAGTTTAAGATTTCATAGTTGATACATTTTTGAGGCGATGTTAAAAGTTGCATTAAGTTAATTGTTGAAACAACGTGTGTTAGTTGTATGGAAACCAGCCGAATTAAATAGCGGATCTTTCTAACTCGAAATATGGGGAAAGCCACGAAGAAACGATGCGAAGTGGGTTATTTAGGAAATAAACTCTGTAACTTGACCTATATATGAATTGAAATTGGTGTGACCATATACGTTGAAATGGGCGTGTTCGAGTTTGCTCAGGATAATTATGTAGCTCTAACTTAGCTCTTAAAGCTAGCGATATGTTGCAGTCGTGGCAGACAAACCAAACCACAACATGTGGACAGTTCGGTCAAATGTCCTTCTAATGACTCCAGCTACCTCACACTTTACTCTTGCACTCGTCAGCCTTGATTGTGGACTGTATAATAATACTATTATATCTATAAACATTGTTTACATGTGTCCATAAACTCTTTATGAACATGACACATTACATTATGATCAGTTCAGGCTGACATTAGCTAACTTAGCTAACCCCGGTTAGCTCAGCTGGGTGCTTTGTGTTTTGACGTATGCAATGTTAAATGTTGTTAGACTGTATCTACAACGCATTTTATGAATATGTCACAATTCATTACATAAAGGACAGGGTTTTCCGATGGTTAGTGTGTCAATACTCTGTACCAAGATAAGCTCATGTGTAGCTTTCGGTGAACGGCGTCATAGACGTTAGCAGGCTGATGCAAGCGGCTGCAACGTGGACTGCTGGATGGTTTCTACTCTTGATTTCCGTTTCATTTGCTGAGAACCAGCAGTCCTCCTGGGAAGAGGAATGAAGGACAGCCAGTTGTTTTGGTGCACACAACTACTAGGACTAGTAAAAGTAAAACTATCTGCAGGCCTTTTATTAAACCTGTGTGGTAGACTGTTCGTCAGGAATGCTGAGAGAATGAGGAACAAGATCTCTGTGCCAAACATTAGCCTACATCAGGTGAACATCAAACTCAGAGCAGAGAATTAGTCTTTTAGAAAATTATATTTAGCTTTTTATGTTTTTATCATCTGTTAAAACTTTTAAAAGCCCCCAGAGAATAAAGATCTTTTGGTTCTGCTTTAAGCTGATGCTACAATACATACTTGTAATTTAGCTCCATTACTGTTGCCTGTATAGATATCAAGTCCATGGCGTTACAAGCATTTTTTAATGCTAAGCAAATGCCAAAGTACTGACACGTTAAGAGCTACTGCATTAGGCAAGCAGTACTTCTGCAAAGAGTGCACAGCTGTTGAGGCAGTATGAGGAGGTTGAGCAGAAAAACATACAACACTGCCGTGTGCGTTTTGCATAACAGGACCAGTTCAACTGGTTCTCTAACCTAAATGTCTGAAGTGAATTCCGTTGCCCTTGACTTACTGTAGCACTTCTACATTGAAGCCAGTGTAGGTTGTGAAGCCATGTTTACCCAGACTCATAACAGAACCCTAACAAACACTGAAATGATCTCTTCTTGAATTGAGGGACTTAGTATCGCACATGAAACCTACTACATCACCCCATGATGCTATTCCCTCCTCCATTATAAAGGATTTTTTGATGCAGTTGGCCCCTCCATTCAGATCATTTTAAATTCATGCCTCGCATCTGGCACTGTCCCTACATGTTTTAAGCATGCGGTTTGTCCACCCTTGCTCAAAAAAACAAACCTTGATGCCAACTGCCTAAAAAACTACCGCCCCATCTCCAAGCTTCTTTTATTTCTAAAAGTTCTGAAAAAGCTGTTCTGTCACAGCTGATTCTTTTACTGACCACTCATATCCTGCTAAACCTTTTTCCAGTCAGGTTTCAGACCCCTTCATAGCACTGAAACAGCCCTCTTAAAGACTAATATTTGCTTCTCCACTAGACTCAGGTGATTAATGCCCATCCTCATATTACTCGATATTTTACCAGCTTTCGACACTGTTATCACCAACATCACCCACCCCCTCACCACCCGCCTTTGATCAGCAGGTGGGCATTAGGGAGACTGCACTACTCCTGGTTCCGCTCCTATCTCAACATAGGACTTTTTCTGTGTTTATTGGTCAGTTCTCCTCATCTTCT